TGGTTGGTTCGCAGCAGCCGAGAGACCGTTTGGCTCGGCCGTTCCGAGGAGGAGCCAGCAGAGAAGCGGGCAGGCGATACGCCTCGCCTCTCAGAGGCACCTTCTTGACACGCCGTTCGTACTGAAGCCTCTGCTCTCTGCCCCTTTCGAAGCCTGTCTGCGACGACTGCGGCAGCGGGGACGGACTTTTTCCCTGTTGGCAAGCCGAAAACCTCCTTCAAAGAGGAGATAGACACCCACGAGCCAGCCCTACTCTTGCCCGCCTCTGCCGCCGCTCTCCCCTGTTCCGTTAGAAGCGCGGGGGCTCCCTGACCCTGCACTATCCCGTCTCCCCAGCGCCTCCGTGCTATCCTCGAGCGCCCCCCCCCTCTTGCCGTGTGGCAGAGTGAGGTCGCCGTCGCCTCAGGCAGCGGATCCAGGATGTCATGAAAAGGCAGCAACCCCTTCACTCTTGGATTTTCACTAGCCGGGGGTGGGGTGGAGAGAGACTGCTTTTTGGATTTTCTGCCTTTGGCGCTAAATTGGCCTGGCCTGACTTGGCATAGAGCACTGCTGTTTAACTGCTCTGCCTCAAGCTTCAGAATGACTCAGTATTTGCATCCCCTCTGCCTTGATGAACTGGACTTAAATCCCCAGAAAGTCACACTGAAATAGATCTGCTAAGATGCCGTAATACTTTGACTTTTCCCTTTTTCTTTCTCTCCCTTAACAGCTACTTCAGAGGATGGCTTGGGACAATTAAAGCCAAGTACTGGGAAAGGAAGCAGAGTCTTATACACAGAAAATGTTGTACTGCTAACTCTGTCATGTAACCGAAACAGTCAGAGTATTGAAAACAGCATGTGAAGAGTCACAAATGTTACTTCTGGTAATAAATTAATTACAAACACTTTAAATATTTTGTTAGAGATTCTGTTTGGCTCAGTTTTCAAAGTGGTGTAGCAATGGTAAGCTAGATAAATGCATCAATTACATATCACAGCCAAGGGCTATTTTAGCCTCATGTATTTGTGTGTTTAGAAAAAAATACTGAACAAGATACACTTTAAATACTGAAAATACTGGACAAGACTACACAAGGAAACCACTGAAATCCACAAACACCAGCAGAGCTTCAACAAAAAAGGAAAAAAGTCTAAAACTCAACAAAGCCTGGCTCCCAGCACTGAAAAATACAGCCTGCAGAAAGGTCAACGAACTCTACCCAGCCACAAGGACCAGTGATCACTGCACACAAAAGACTAGCTAATGACACCAATCATTCACAGTGACAGATCATCTCCCCCCTTATCACAATACACTCATATCAAAAAACACCCTGATTACAGGAATCATCCAATCTCCTGAAAAAACAGAAACCTGATCCCACAGCTACAAACACTCACCAATCCCACATGCTACACCAGAAAACAGAGTTCTAGCTACTGTTCTCCAAAGATGCTGGCCACAGAGACTGGTGAAACATTAGGAAGAAAAACCTCCAGAACATGGCCAAACAGCCCGAAAAACCTACTACAACCATTGGATCCTGGCCATGAAAGCCTTTGAGAAAACAAGATACACTTTTGTTCTGATTACATAAGGCTCAAACTATAACATAATAACAACTATATAGATGTTTTCAGGACAAAACCCAACACCATACTGTATATTCCAGAATGTTGTCTCTCCTATCTGCAGTCCATCCCACCCCCAGTCCCTCTGCAGTCCCCTTCCAACCCCCTAGAGCAGATTTTGAGGGAACACTACATGAAATTCTCTTTTCATTGACAGGAGTTCCATCAGCAAAAGCAAATCCCTGCATTAGATTTCACCCACAGTACTTGAAATACTTGATCATCAATTGATAGAACTGGAGTAACTGACTGACCCAACATTTTCTGACTACTTAACTGACCAGCCTGTTAACTGGAAAAATTTTGCAGACAAGAACTGCACTACTAAAGCATAGAGTACATACATGTACACATGTAATAATAAATCATAAACACATGTTCCCAACAGGTTTAACTACAATATATTTCCTTTTCAACACATTACTTAAAATATTAAGGATATTAAAATAAAATAATGTTTGACACATCTTGGAATGCAATATTTCCTGGATAAATTCCAACAAGGTTGGTTTCTACAAGGTATCCCTCCATCTCACCATCCATTGTAGACAAGGCAGTATAAATTTCTTCACTGAATTTCCTGGAGTAGATAAAAGCTTTAAAATGCATTCACTTCCAAAGCAGGAATAGGCTTTTATCTTGTACTGTTACCTAGTTGTGAACAAGGCTAACAGCATGTGTTCAGCAGCAGACTCCAGAGATAAATGGTGCTACAGAAATAAATGTAGGATTGATATCTAAGTCTGGAGATGAAATCCTAAAGAAAAAACACTGTCATTGAGGCTTTTAAAAGGTCATGGACACTTTTAAAATCTAACCATAATTATGTTAACATTATATTTAATAGGCCAAAATTCAGTACTTGCAGCCCAGTATCTTGCACCCATACACTCAGCAACAAGTCTTGCTTGTTGCAATATTTTTTAAAAAAAGTAAAAGACTTTTTTTAATGTATATAGAATATTTACAAAACAGCAAAGTTTTTTTTAAATGTTAGTCCCTGCTAGAGTGGGAACTCATTAAGTTCATAACTGATCCAGTAAGTCTCCTCCATCTGGAACTAACAACTAGATTTAGCTCATTGTTTTAAAAAGGAAGTGGAAAACTTTGGCCCCTTAAAAAAATAACAAAACACATGGGAACATAACCCAGCATTATTAGGCATGACAATATATTTACATGAAGCCAGCAGAATAGCAAGTGAATGTGCAAACTGGGTTGCCCAGTATGATGTGGTCAATAGATGGTCTCATGAGACCTGGGTTTAGATGGAAACTCACAGGTGAGGGTAGCACTGGTAAAACTATAGGGTCTGGCTTGCTTGCAACAGGTTGATAATAACTGCAGCTTGTGGTGCCATGGATTGTCTGGGAAATGCCAACTTCAAAAACTGAGAAACAGTCTGGATTTTTTTTTGCATCAGAAAGAGAAGTTCCATTAACTGCATGCAAGCAGTCAAGCCATCTAAGTAATTTCATTGGGACAAGACTCTTTAAAGATGTTTATTGGTCATATACAAAATAAAGAATGCTTCATATCAACAAACATACACTATATACATAAATAAATTAACAACACCTCCACTGGGGCTGTGGAACAAATCCCCAACAATTATCAGATATCTACAGATTGAAAAAGGACAATAATTTAGCAATAAATACTGATTAATTATCCGGGCTCTGCTGTTGCACAGGAAACCCCCAGGACTCGACAATATGCTATTACACCCCTGGCACATAGAATTAATCTCCAGTTTTCTCAGCTTTGGAGATTGAGATTCTTTTTATCAAAATACTCCTCCCTCCCCCTTGAAGAAATATTTTAAAGCAGCAATGATCCATGTCTTCTAAGGACATCCACTCAACATCTGCAGGGTGGGGAAGGAGCAGTCATCAGTCCATCTCATGAAGTGCTCCAAATATCACAATTCTCTCTTGTTTTCCATAATATATTCCAGCTTGGCAAAGGGTGTAATAAACTCAGAGCAAACTGCAGGTGAGGGCAAAGACAACCAGCATATGGTTTGGAACCATCTGAAGATCCCCAACTCTTCTGCCTCCAGCTAGGTAGTCGGATACCTTGATTTAGAAAATGGCACATTAAGCCTTTTATTCATACAAGTGACAATCACAAGAGTCCATACCAGATAGCAGGAGAGAAGGTAACTCCTCACCCTCTGGAAGAGCCTGCCTGACGTCCATGGTTCTGCCATCCTCCCATCACCTCTGCATGGAAGGAGCTATCCCCACATTTTTCCAGCCACATCTACCCACACATTTTATCAAATGGAAACAAAAAAAGTCCTGTGAAGTAGCAATTGGGTTTGCCTGATAAAGTACACCTTCAGCTCTCAAGGTGTGAGAAGAAGGGGGGGCTGTCACTAAGTGCTTTTTCTCTGCCTGGGGTAGGGAAAGCAAAGCCATCACTGGGACCTATCCAGAATTCAGAGCAAACCTTTGTTAATTTACAGGAATGCCAATTCTGTTCCTAGAGAACATGTAACAACTTGCCACCCTGCAAAGACTCTGGCGTGTGCCAAGTGTACGTGGGATGCAAAACCAAACATCTCTGACCCAAGGAGTACAAGAAATGCTGGGTTTTCTATGTGCACGTAAGTGCTTGCAGTGAGAGTGGGTCCACACGCCCTGATGCATGACCAGTGGCCCAACCCAACAATCCCTTCCCCAAGTGCAAATTGTGAACACTCTCCAAGCTGGGCCTAAATGTTAAGTACCCTGCTCCTGGCCTGCAGTTTCTCTCTCTCTCTCTCTCTCCTTCTCACTTCTCTTCTGGAGAGAAATAAATGTTCCATAATCCAAGAGACCACTTTTACACAATCCACTACGACATAAACAACCCCCTCCCCACCCCACCCCGCCACAAGCGAACCACATGTGGGCGGAATTACACTTCACGGATTTGCTCTTGCAGGCAAGTGGAAAGCAAAGCTCCCCGCCTGTTGCATCAAACAAAATGCCCTATTATTTTAAAAATTAAAATTAAAAGGAGGGGGGGAAACCACAACACCCTTCACAGCAGGAAAACCAAACAAACAAGCACCATGAAAAACAAGAACCATCACACTCTGAATGCTATATACCAGAAAGCGAAATTGAGGGCAAGGGCTTGAGAGGGGGCACCTGGGACAGGAAGAACTCATGAACACTAAAAGGAGACAGACTGAAAGTGAGTGAGAGAAAATGGAAGATGTGAAGGGTGTCCTCTGCCACCACCAGTGGGTGCTGGAAGCTTCACCATCTGAACTTCCGCCCTTCAAACCCATGCCCAAAACATATCCACTATAATATGAGGTTAAGTACTGGCAACCTCCTGCAACAAGCTTAGACACAGGTAGCAATCTCAGGGCAAGATAGGCAATTCCAGAAGTAAAACTACTAAAAAAATGTGGCACCTTTAAAACTAACAATAATTATTATGTGTCTGCATCCCCCAAGACAGGGTGGGGGAGGGAAATGGTTTGGTCGAAAATGAATTGCAAAAAGCACAGACTATGATCATTATGTTAGAAGTCAACTACCTTGTATAGTGGTTACAATGACCATTCAACACAGCTGTGCTGATGGCAACAGGAATGCCAGAGGCACAAAAAGCATTTGCACTGTTATCCACACCACTTTGGGAAGGTTTGCTGTACTAACTTTACACACATTTAAACTTGTATTATCATTTTCAAAGTCTGTTTGCTTTGTAGTTTATTTCCTACTAATCATTCCTCCCAGGACAGCCAACATAGCATAACAGTTCTCTAATCAAACTAAAGATTACTCTCATCCACAGAACCTTACACTATAGATACAATATATGTTTTAGTCTTTAAGGTGACACAAGTTTCTTGGTTTGCCCCCATCATGTAGCTACCCCTCTGGAAATTTTAAGCTAGTGACTTTAACTAGAGACTCCTCGTGCTATATCCAACACCTAGATGGAAAAGCAGCCAACTCAGTTAGAGGAAGCAGCCAGAGAAGCCCAGCCAACTGTGTAGACCAGGTACTGCAAATTAACAAATATTTAGGACTACATGAGCATGATACTGCTAGATTCAACAGAATCAACGAGGGCTACTGACTTCTTCATTTTGCTAAAAAGAAACTTCTGTCCCAGAAAGATGGTCGCCCACAGCAATTTATCATACAAGCTGCCCTCAAATTACACAATAGGACAGATGTTATCTTGCTGCTTTCCATCAGGCTGTAAGGGAATAACAGGACAGAGAAACACACCAATGCAAACAGAGATGCAGATTCTTGTGGCCAAGCAGTAATCAGTTAGGTTCAATAGTGAGCTCATCAGTTCAGCCCACAGAGGTTCTCCTTGGGCATCTTTAAAACCAGGGTATGAGCAAAGGACCTAAAATTTCACATCAGTCTCCCCCTCTCTCTTGTCAGTTTTTTCAGCCAGAACACTCAAGTGACAACTTGTTACACTTGGCCATCTTGACAAGTGTGCATAAGTATTGCTTACTTGGATGATCATTGTTTGTTTTCCTCCAGAATTTGGATTTCTTTGGCAAGGACTAGAGAATGGAAGGCGATGAAGGGAAGAAAACATGCACCACTTTAAAGGACGGAGGGGAAGATGCTCAAAGAGGTAGAGAAATATGAAGCAATAAAAGACTGGAAATGCTCTGCCTCTAGCAATCCCATATAAACCTCCCCTGATTTCTAAGTGTTCTATATGAGGAGTGACAAGACATAAAGCCCCTGGTCCTTTTCAGACTTTTCCAGGTCCGCAAATGGCCCACAAGATCCCTAACAGAATTAATAACAACACTGTCTTGTCAAGAAGTCTGATTTTGAGTGGAATTGGCAGCCAACATGTCTGCGTGCCTATATCAGAACCATTCGTTATTATTCTCTCCTAAACTGCCATTTATATTCTTGATTCCAATACTTCTTTTTTGACATGGGCAAAGAGCAGCAGAAAACAACCCCAATCTGCCTTGTCAACAACCACCGCTTCCATTTCACACAGCCAATTTGCAGAAGGACAGAGTTCCTTGCAGCAGAAAAAAAAATATAAATACACATGAAGAGGTCTCTGACAGCAATTTCTCAATTAAAAAAAAAATTCTCCCCTGCCTAGGATAAATGAAACGCTTGCAGTGGGTGGACATTAAGAAGATGATTTTGAGGAATCAATCTTCATTTAATTAAGGCTGAAGGTGCATTTGTTTAAAGTCATTGAGGGTTGTCCCAGGGTATCTGCTGGCTCAGAATTAAGCCCTCCAGAGTATTTTAATTGGATACTTTTGCTTAACAAACATGCAGGTTTTTTTTCCCTCTAAATATGAGACCCAGGATCTATTACAAAGTAAACTTGAGGTTTTCACAGTCTAGAAAAGCTGCCCTACTACAGTATGTGTTGCCTAACCTCTGCCTTGCGACTGCTTAGACCCTGTCTCTCCACGGGGACACCTCTCCAGTTATCACCAGGAGTGCTCCCTTCTGAAGAGCACAATTTTCTAGGCAAAGTCTCAGATTTTAAATGGCCACCTGGAGTAATACTCGAATACCTATTCCAAGGGAAAATCACAATATGTACCTCACGACACTAAAACTACCATGTGCCCCTTATGGCCCAACTCTCTGTGTGTGCTACCAGGAATTGCTAGCTGCTTGCCAAAAGTCACTGTATCTCTTACAGACACCCTAGGCATTAGACTTCCAACGAAACTTTCTAATCATCCAGAAGACAAGCAGCAAAACTGGCCCTTCCTGCATCACACTGAGCACCACACGCTCATGAGCCCTTTCAGTTTCCAGCTCAGCTTCCTAATGACTTCCAAACACACCACAGAAGAGAAAGCGACAAGCAGGAGAACAAGAAAGTGATCACAGTCTCAATACTAAAAGAATCCTGCCAGAAAAGTGAGGTACACAGACACGACCTGTAGTCCAACCTTACAGAACACAAATTCTGTTCACCCACTTGTAGAATAGGCTGTGTCCGCTCCATTCATGGCTTGACATTTCTGCAGAAGGAGCAGCAGTCTCTTCAATCCCACTTTTGCTGCCAGGTTGTTGTTTTGTTTGTTTGTTTGTTTGTTTGCTTGCTTGCTTGCGCACGCGCGCGTGTGTGTCCGTCCCCTACAAAGACCAAGGAACAGCAAGAAAACAAGCTCTGGGACAGATGGGATTTTAGTAGGGTGGAAGAACAGAACACTCTCCACTGCCTACCATGAAGCCATTTTGGCAATATTTTAGAAGAGCCAGTTGACCTCCAGCTTTGGTGGCAAGAAGGCATGCCTTCAGATACAGGTAGCCTTCTTATGAGTCAGTAGCCTTCAGAAGCTCTATTGGGAAATGCCCAAGAAACCCTGCCCTCAGCCCAGGAAAAGCAAAAGGAATGTTCACAGGACATCCACACAGCAAAGATGGCCACTGGCACCATCACGTCACAGCGCCACACAAGACCTCAGAGCACAGACAACTAAACACAACAGGAGCACAAAAGAAGCATGTGAGGAGTTCAAGAATAAGTCACTTTTGGTACAATTGCAAAAAAGATATCAAACAGGACTAGCCTTTTTTTTCTTCTTTTTCCCCCAACATTATTTATAAATAAAAGTCTGATAACTCTTTATAAAAACCAACCTCGGAGCCACAAAGACTTAGCGAGAAACTTTTAAAATTTGCTCTCTTTTTTTGCTTTTTTGTTTTGAGCTAGCAAAGTCTCCAAGAATATGACAATCAAATATTTTTCATTCTCTCAGGTTAAAAAGGAGACAAGTCCTTCATCCAATTTTAGTTTTGAAACTTAGATCATTTCAGTAATTCATTAAAAGGAATCTTATCAGTCATAAATAAAGGGCTATTTAAACCACATAAACTGGTTGTGTAAACCATCACACTAGAGACACTTGATACTCTCCAAACACAGGAAACAACTAGTGATTTTGGTCTTGTTCAGTGCAACACATTAGGCACAAAACTGGCCTGTAGCCACCACGGTACAGCCTGCCTTCTCTCCTAGTAGGCGGGCGACAGTGGTGCCCATTCCTGGCTCCTTTCCCTTCTCTGCAGCACAGACACTACAGTACTGCTGTTTTGTTTTCGGTTTTTTTTTGCCCCCTTCCCTCCCCCTTCAGGAAAAGTCCTAAGGAATCCCACCTTTAAACATAAAAGGCGCCAATAGATGTTAATATAAAAATGGTTACACACACTATCCCCATTTTAGCCACTGATACCAAGCAATTTACAAGCAGCAAACCGGACAGTTGACACACAACCCTGGAAGAATAGTACAGAGTTATCACTACAGCAGGTCTTCCAACTTTCCCAGGATCTCTACCCTCCCCTGCTTTTGGGCGATTCCTCCCCAAGAATTTATTCCATGCTGCTGAGAATCTCTTTGGCTAGAGAACTGAGGTCCTTCAGTCTCTCTGTTCCCAGAACACCCCTGGACAGAAGGTTCTGCTCACACAGGAAGGGTTGCATTACCATCAGTCACACCAATCAGGACAAAGCTTAGAAACAAAGGGACTGCAGTGACAAACAGGCCAGCATGTGCCCGTGTGGGCTAGGCCATCTGGGAGAGGGTTGTGCTTTGGGGATTCCAGATGAGCTTTGTGCCTAACTGCCCTGCACACACACAAGCCCAGGCAGTGCTCGCTTCACTAAGACCGGGCGTCCGTTTTAGACTTCACTATCGTGATGACGCTGGTGGTGGCAACCTTGCCAGGCACAAGTGGCCCCATGCTGGAAGCAAGTGGGCCCCGGGCAGGGGTGACAGGGCTCCGGGCCACGGTCCGGGCGAAGTTCTGCAGTGCCTCGTACTTGGAGCGCAGGGCATCAAGTTCCATTTTCATGCTGGCATTCTCCGAGGCCAGCTTCTCCACTTCTTGCTGCAGTTCCGCCTTCTGTTTCTCCAGCTCCTCCTTCTGGGTCACCCTCTTGACCCGGCAGCTGGCAGCGTAGCCCCGGTTCTTCAGGGTCCGCCGGCGTTGCTTGAGCTGTATGATCTCCTCCTTTGACAAGCCCCGCAGATGCTGATTCAGCTCCCGTACAGACATGGTCACCAGCTCTTCATCTGTCAAGCTGGTCCCATTCTCGCCAGGCTCCCGCTTCACCTGTGGGGACAGGAGGAAGACATGCATCACTTGGAGTTCAGAGGGCAAGCATCCATCATAATGCTCCAATTTCATGCCATTACCTTCAAGGCTTTGTTTCCTTTGTTGGGGGTCGTCATAACACGCAAGCCTTCACAATCCGATTCTGTAAGAAAGACAAGATGGTCAGAGATCATCAAACTGAAGCCCCAGACTGCTCGTTTGTACAGGCTGACTTCTTTGGTCCAGCAACTCCCTGAGAGAAAGCAGGCAGGGCTCCCTGTGGGAAGCAATGCCCATGAGCTTGACGCTGCAAGGAACCAAACTGAGGGACTTACAAGAGCTCCCGGTCGCGTCTGTCCCTGCCAGCCCCACTGCTCTCTCTAAAACTTAAAAGACAAATGGCAGAGCAGAGGAGGGTGGTGGTGGTGGTGGTGATTAAGAACCCTGGGAGGAGCCAGAGCAGGATGAAACGACATTTAAAAATAGCCTGGCAGCGGGGTCCTGCACGGCTGTACTGAGCCAGTCATGCTGACTCAGCATGTGAGCAGCCTTGCTCACAGCACACGCCTTAGAGTCTAACTGAGCACGGGAGCTGCGACCCAAAAGGTTTGCCAGGCCATCAGCCTCTACCCCCATCCACAACAGGGCCCAAAGGGGATGCAGCCTGTTAGCCACCCCAGAGGCTAGAGATGGGAGCCTGGAAGCCTTCTTCACAAGTACTCCCTAGAATGGGACATGGTGTGTATGAACTGACCAATTCTATTGGAAGTATTATTTTTATCTAGGAAGCTGAATAGCAAAAAAAAGTGGGGGGGAGGAGAGGGAGAGGAAAAGAGGCAGAAGGAATGATATGGGGCATACAGAAAACTTATGAAAACATCTGGCTCTTACTTAAATCAAGAAATTTGGCCAATCAACATAGAGTGTACCAACACTGTGCTGATCCCTCCCCGTTTTTCTCCCAAACAGGTATTAACAGGGATGAAGATGGTAAATGGGAAGACACTTTGAAAACAAGAGAGGTCTTGGTTGGTTTCCAATGGTCAGAAGAACTAGCAATACTCCTAGACAACAAGCAATACTCCTCTTCATTTCCTTGTTCAGTTGTTCCAGTCCACTGACCACCTCGTTAACAAAACAGTGGGCAGCATCCTGTTCAATATTTATGCACATGGAACTCCAGCTGCAGAAGCTACTGCAGCAATTTGACGATGTGCTAGTTGCATGCTTGGTCCTACACAAGTGGCACTTTACCAAGTCTCACCACAGCAGCCTCCACAGTCGGAGCTGTGCACCTGCATAAATACTGAACAAGATGCTGGCCAGTCAAATTTAAAAGACAAACCCCTCTTTTTTACAAATGTACTGTAAAGCTCATTTATGCCAAGTAACTCTATTGACTTATTGTAGTCACAACATATTCTTCCGAACTTCCCAAAACTTGTGTCTCATTGAGGAAATTTGTAATGTAACTTTAAGAAACATTTATGATTCTCAAATTCCTAGCAGAATGATTTCAAAAACAAGCTTGGAAATCACAATCAGAATTGGTGCTTAAGTCTCAGGAATCAGAAGGCAAATTAAAAAACACACTGACAATTCTTCCAGATTTTATAATTTCAGCATCTACTGAGTGAGCCAGGCGGGGGGGGGGGGGCTGAGCATTTCAATATCCAAATTCACAAGGAACATAACCCTCTCTGAGGGAGGAAGTACATTTGGCAGCAAATGCTACTGCTGTACACAAAGCATAATCTTTGTTAATGGATTTTCATTTCTAAAACTTTAATGGAATCACCTTTTCTAGTTTCAAAACAGAAAGCACAAATGGCTTCACCACAAAAAAGGCATCCCACTGAGACAAATAATTGTAATCCAATGCAGCTGTCTATGTAAATCAGAACTACCCAGCAAACAAGAGGAAGCAGAACAGTATCACTAGTGGAAATCCTGCTGCTTAGCATAGTAACTCACAATTAGAGTAGGCCCATTTCTATCAATAGATCTTACAGAACAGTTGACTCATCAAGTCCCCAAAGAGTCAGTGAGCCTACTCTATTGCAGCTTACTATACTAAGCAACAGGATTTCAACTACTCTGTTTTTGAGCTTCACCCTGAAAAGATATGCAAGAACAGTTACTTGCTCCTGCACAAGGGACTGGAGATCTCAACAAGACATGAGTTGTACCCTGCAGGTAAAATGTCCTACAGACACACTGCACCAAGCATCACTCTACCTTTGGCTACTCCTCTGAAACAACTCAGAAGCCAGAACTGTTCCGTAAGCAAGAAGAAACTCTGCTGCAGCAGCCAGGGTTGTCTCAGGGATAGAGGAACCGCTAGGTACATCCAGTCAGGGATGTTTTTACATCCACCTCCCACCCAAGCACATCATCAGCACTTACACAGCATAATAAATGTCTCTCCCACACAGGCCATGTTCTTGTTTGTTAAATGCATAAAACATCAGTTCACATTTATAGCAGAGAATTAAGACAAGCTGGTGTCAGCAAAAGTCAAGGAACAGTCCCTTAGCAGCACCCCCAGAAGGGTTAGCTTCAGCGCTTTCCAAGATCACTAATAGGCCAGCCACAACTTGGATATTCCTCGAGCAATGAAAACTGCTGACAAGCAAAGCACTTATGCCCAAAGGACATGGCCGTGGTCACTGATTAAAAGGCTCAGCCTACACTAACACAGTGGGTCACAACTGCCTGACTAAAAAGGATTCAATTCTTAGTTTTGCTTTTGGAATCGACAAGTCAATTTCAAAGAATGACTGGTCTTAAAGTGTAGAATACTCCATTCATTGTGCTGTGCCACCCACAATCACAAGTTGCAGGCACACGGATACATGAATACAACCCCCCCCCAAGGCTATCGTTTCTTATTCCATTTTCTAATTCAGGGAATAAGCTGTGATAGGAGCAGCACTGCCATCCCTGCAAACAGCAGCCTCTAACACCATGCCACTGTTTAAAAAATCATACTACTATATACTAGATAAATAAATGCTGAGGCATGGAAAATGACTGCCCTCACCCCAACACCAGAACCTTTATTTCTATTTTCCCAACTTCGGTGTATCTAAAAACCAAATGTAGCTAGACATTTCCAGGAAAAGAATCCAAAACAAACTGCTAGAAACCACTCCTCCACAGAATGGAGTAAGCAACATCACTCCAAAGTAATATCAATTTCCTTTGCCTATCAAGAGATTGTACTTAAAGTGGATTGGAGAGAGTGATCGATATCACCAGTAGTGCTCAGGTAAGAGAGCTCTACAAGTTTCTGAAAAACAGAAATTGCACAACCAAGGAGGAATTCCACATGGCACAAGAAGGAATTCCATGTGCAACTGATCTTGAACAGAAATTCCAGAGCAGGAAGCTATCTTGGGGAAAAAAATCTAAACATGAGTGTGCTTAGCCAACTCAACAAGACTCCTCATAGAGCAAGAGCAGGGCTCTAGTCGATGTCAGGATTCATGATGTAAATGCAGACTAACATTAGGGAGCATAAAGGAATACTGGCAAGAAAGAATCTCAGTCACTCACAGCTCGCTGTCTCACTGCATGGGAAATGTTGGGTGAAGATTGCTGTGAGGAGAGAATGGAATACAAGCCCTCACTTCTGTAGCTATAAACCTAGTAGCGCAAATCAAAGTACGAGAATAATGGGGCCTAAATCATATGACAGTTCCAAATAGGGTAGACCCATAGGATGAATGGGATTTACGTAAGTGTTGATGTAACATTCTGCAATTTATTCAATACTTCTACACTAGTTTCAGTAGCAAACAAATTTAGGCCTAAGCATTGAACTTGCCATATCATAAAAGGTTAAGGAACCTTGCAATATTTAAACACAAGGAATTCGTTAGGTGTAAGTCTGTGCTCAGGGTAAGCAGAGTTTTCATTACTAGAAAGACTGATTTATATATATTTTTAGAAGAGGCACTCAAGAAGGAAACCTATCCAGACTTTCACATTCATAAACTGGGTTGGCATCAGGCCCTGCTAGAGCACTGACTGGATGGCTGAAGCAGCAGGACTTATTAACATCCTGCAAGGAGGACAGCCAGAGAGAACTGGCATCTAGACAGAGACAAACTTGGTCTAACTCCCCAGACTGCTGATTTCTCAGCTTTTTGACAGCTTCCCGAAGAAAGATCACACTGGAAAGTGCCAAGTGCGATGGCTGCAAAGGGGGGAAAAGTGCAGCCTCAACACATTTCACAGAGACTCAAAAGGCCTGCACTCAGCACAAGCACCGCCAATTCTTCGCTCATAACAGAGCTGACAGCGGAGTGCATGATTCAACACAGGCCCCATTCTCAACATTCCTGGTTCAGAGAGCTCTGCCATCAAACTAGTGTAAACATGGTGACGTCAGTCCATTCCAGCAGTAAGACAGCCCCCATCACAGGAGGCCCAGCTGTAAGGGATAAGAAAGAAGAAGGGCATGACAACAAGGAAAAAACAGGAGCTGGATGACAGCCTGCAGTGGGATGTTTTTCAACAGGTGTAGCACAAAGAGCTATTAGGACATGGTGCTTTATTGCATGGCAACTCTGTTGGCTGCAAGCTTTCAGGTATTTAGAGAAGTATATGCAAATATAGCCTCCTAATTATCCTTATAATCACATACTGATCCCTTTGTAGGAATGTTTAACCTGGTGAAGGAACCTGAATCCAGATGGATTATCAGTAAGCCTTTCAGAAATGTATGATCCCTAGAGAATCCTATTACCCCTTAACCAAACATGTCTCCTCAATATGTTTACATACAAAGGCGCTGCAGCTCTACTTTGGATATGACAAATGCCTCTTATTAACTTGAATTAAGGGACCCAAACTGTCTTTTCCTAAATATCCTTAGCAGACTGCCATATTCATATTGTTATTTTGTTATTTGCTGTATCTGGGAAGACAGGGATGTTTGTAGTCAAAATAAGAGAATTCCATTCACCTTTTCCCAGACTTCTGATTTTTTGCAGTTAAACTGAACATTTATTTTATTTCACATTTATCAAACTTCATAAGTAATCATCTAAATACCAGTGGACTCTGCATTACAAGGGAAGCAAGACACTTTTGCACATCATCCCCCCCACTAACAACAAAAAAGGAACAAAAAGGTGTGAGTTTCCTCTATCATGTTTCCTTTACATGAGCAAAGGGTATAACATTAGATTATCTGTCTCATATTGAGCTGAAGTTGGGCTATTTTGGTGTTTAAACCACAGATCTAGTATCTTTGGTTACAACAGGTCTTACAATACAGTATTAGAATCATTCTGTTCAAATTTTGGAGTATCCTTTTATTGCAGAGAATGGTGTTAAATTAGGCAACTTTTCAAATCCACCCAATATTATGCTTTTAGAATCAAAGGGGGGGAATGCACAGGTCTTGTTCAGAGAGATATCAAACCAAAGTAACTTGCTCTCATTACTGAAGCATTTTGATCTACTGTACAAATGAGCTGAGCTAGACACATACACAGAGGAGATCTGCTTCTCTGTCCCCTTCCTGCTTCAACATGACAATATGCTACTCCCCTTCCAGAGCCCAGGAGAAGGCTGTGTTGGTCAGAGTGACAGCATATATAACAACAGAAGTAGCAATGTCCACTAAGCCATTACTTTTTGGACTGGCCATTTTAGGAAGACTGTAAAGCTAGCTCAAAGAGAAAAGCTGGCAGGTAAGAAGGCACTGGGACCTTGTAGATGTCCAAGGCCCAAATAAACATCAACCAAAGGACCCACAAGAGAAAGGAGATCTCTTACAAAACTTCTGCCCAGTATCCCTCTTTCTCCCCTCCATGTTCTGTCTTCAAACACTGCACATGGATATGCACTCTAGTACATATGCTCAGAGAGCTGTGACTGTCACAACATAAGTACGGGAGGGGAGGTGCGAAGAAAGGCGATTCTCTTCTCTGGTCTCTTGAAATTCTATTCTTCTCTGCTTTATTACCCCGAAAGGAATGAGTGAGCAGGTCCTCTCTCCTCCCTCTGCCCCACTGGACCTTTGGCCAGGTCCCCCCAGCCCCCACCTCTCTTTGTGCTGCATATACCTAATGGTGACCTCATGTTGATGAGTCAGCAGAGTCTGGGCTCAGCACTCAGGAGGTTGTGCCAGGGATGCAAGGGGTTGATGTAAACCCCTTCATTTGCTATGGCCGTTGCATTCCCCCCCCCACNAGACACCTGATGAGTCAGCACGACGAGCCCTTTCACATTCACAGACATGGCTGCATTCTCTCGGGAGAGACCTACAGGCACAAGTGCCCAGGGAGCAGCGCGCCCCAACAACCTCTCCGCCGTCGCCCCCCCCGCCCCCGCTTCTCCGAAATAAGGGAAGGGGGCGCCCTTGCCCTGGAAAACCCACAGAATTAAGATGGGAAGGGCCCGGCTACTTTTTCCACGCTCGGTCCTTGAGGAGAAAAGT